CTGATGTAAGTCTTGCTGAGTACCTTTGTACTCATGTTGCTATAATTTACATTTTTACAGAAGACGCTGCAACCCCTTCTGATGGGTTCTTCGTAGACGTTGACATCAATGAGTAGGCTAAGGCCAGGTGGTGATCCTGAGCTTGTGAAGGACCACGTAGTATAGCTAGGCTTTCCAAGCCTCTTTTATTTCACTAGTTGTCTGTACTCAGACAAGTTACTTCGCTGCTGGTTTGTATGACTGTATGACTTGAATGCCGGGTCGTGTGACCCGTACCTATGTGTATGTTATGTATGGCTCTCTGAGCCTTAAATAAAGTACTTGTGTCATAGATTCATGTTGTGATGCCTTGTTGTATTTGCACATATCGAGCATATTGTGTGTATGATTGAAATGCTTGGTATGTGTGGGATCTGACTATCTAGTTGTTTATCTTTAGTAGCCTCTCTTACCGGGAAATGTCTCCTAGTGTCTCCACCGAGCCATGGTAGCTTGCTACTGCTCCGGAACACTTAGGCTGGCCGGCATGTGTCCTTCTTCGTTCCTGTGTCTGTCCCTTCGGGGAAATGTCACACATTGAGTACCGGAGTCCTGTTAGCCCGCTACAGCCCGGTTTACCGGAGTCCTGCTAGCCCAGTGCTACAGCCCGGACCCACTTGCTGATGACCGACACATTCGTTGCTGGGTCATGGATGCCTGTCCCTGTAAGTCTGTGCCACTTTGGGTTTACGACTAGTCATGTCAGCCCGGGCTCCTTATCATATGGGTGCTAGCGACACTATCATATACGTGTGCCAAAAGGCGCAAACGGTCCCGGGCAAAGGTAAGACGACACCCGTGGGAATACTGTGCGTGAGGCCGCAAAGTGATATGAGGTGTTACATGCTAGACCTATGTGGCATCGAGTCGGGGTCCTGACAATTAGTGCTGGTGATGCCAATGGCGGTGGTGTAGTCGGTGAGCCAGTCCTCTGGCTTCACGGTTCCAATGTACTTGGGGGTGTCGCGGGGAAGCATGAACCCTTTGGGAAAGGGCTCTTCCCCGATGCGTGGGCCGAAGCACGCCGGCCCAATGGAGCCGCTTTTTTCCACCTCCAGGGAGTGAGCGAGCTAGTCGAGGCGGTGGAGAGCATTAGCATTGTCGATGGCGCGTGCCGAGTCGACTGGCGACCGGGCCACGGGGGGCCGGGTCGGTCAGAGCCGGACGCCGGCCAGGCTGGTCGGGTCCACGTGGGTTCTCCAGGACGATTTCGTCGCCCAAGCTGCCGGCGGCCGTAGCGGCCGGGTCGCGCTGAGTCCGGGCTCGGCCGGAATGCGCCTCACCGGGTGGCGAGGACGCCGTGTGCTGAAGTTCGCCGGGTCCGCCGACGCGGACGGAGTCGGATCCCGCCGGCTTGGCGAGCTGGTTGAGGCAGTCTTGCTGGGCGTTGGCCGCGTTGAGGAGGTCGTGCATCCGCTTGATGCGCTCCTTCAGCTCCTCGCCCGAGTGCTGGTCTAGGCCGACCGCGGCCGCCTGGGTAGCACGCATGTTCTTACTAGGGTCTCGCAGACGGTCGGGTTGGTGCCGAGGGCGCGGCCGATCGCTCCTCCCTGGGCTCGCACGTTGGCGACCCGGCTCGGCACGGCCGCGGCGGGCGTGAATCCGTAGGCGGCATTGCGCTCCAGCTGAGCAAAATCCAGGCGACACTGAGTGGCGGCGAGCATCTCGGTCAGGTCCAGCATCTGCTGGCGCCTTTCCTCGAGCTGGGCTTGGGCCTCAGCGATGTTGGTGGCGTCGATGTCGGTGTCGATGGGGACGCAAAGGCTCTACATCGCGGTGCGCAACGGGTTGGACGACTCAGTCCGTTCCGCTGCGGCCTTGGCTTCGACAGCCTTCCTCGTCTTGCTCGACGAGGAAGAGGCGTCGGTGCCGGTGACTAAGACCTCCACGTGGAGGTCCATTGCCCCGTCGGAAATGCCACCGCCGAGGGAGAGTGGGGAGTCGGAGTAGCTGAGAACCTCGCTGGGGTACTCGTCGGCCGCGGGTGCATCAGAGATGCGCAGCGCGGCGAAGGAGGCGACGAGTGCGTCGACAATGTTGTCCGCCAGCATGACGGGCTCGTCAGAGTCGGAGAAGAGTCCTGTCTGAAGCATGCTCCCGGCCAGCTCCTCGAGCCGCCCCACGGTGGGCGCCAACTATCATAGTGGGCGCACGGCAGATGCCATGGGATGGCTAAAGAGAGGAGGAGGCTCGAGGGCACTGGTGGGCTTTAGACGCGGGGTTGGCATGAGCGAGCGCGGGATGCAAGACATACCCATGTTCGGGGCTCTCTGGAGAGACAACACCCCTAGTCCTGCCGAGTGTGGTTGATATGCGACAGTACAAGGTTGCTCCTGGAGCTGTATGGAGGAGGAAGGAAGGCTGGCCAAGGCTTAGGCTGCTCCTTCTCCTTGGGTGGACTCTACTAATGGGTGGCTAATGTCTCTATCCTTCTGCTTGCTTACTTGCTTGCTTGCCCGTATACGCGAGGGCTCCTGGGGGTTTTATAGGCCAACCCCCCAGGGGTACAATGGTAATGTTACAAGTTGGTGGGGCCGGATCGTCAGCGTCTGAGGACCCGGGCTGGGACCCGCTGGGGGCCTGTGGTTCACCGGGTTCCCCTAGGTGCGGGCCCCGCGTGCCTAGAGTGACTGTGCGCCGTCTTGTCGATCATTAGGGCGTGGCCGAGTCGAGTCGTGTACAGTGGCGCTTCGTCAGGTCGCCGCTTGCTGTCGTCAGCAGTGTTGACGGGGGCACTGTAGCCACGCCAGCCCTGGTCCGCGGGTAGGTGAGGGGCACTGTTGCCACGCTCCGGCTGACCAGAGGCATGGGCGGGGCACTGTTGCCTTGGTCATCAGTGGCTGAAGGCTCGTCCCATCGTACGACCTGGATGGGACGGGAGCTGATCCGTGGCTGGGTTGCGGAGCACGCCACGGGTGGAGCTGGCTTGTCGGGGAAGCCTTGGTTGCGCCGGGTTCGGCTGTCTTGTACTGGTTGTCGAGGCCGAGTCGAGGTGCCTGGCCGGGTCGGAGAGTCCGGTCGGGTCGCGGGGCCTGGCTGGGTCGAGCGACCCGGCCAAGCGCGTGCCGGCTTGAGGGGCGACGCCGACCCCATTGTTTTTGAAAATGATCCGGGTTCCGTTGCCTGCCCAGGGTTCATCCCCCCGACAGTAACCTAGGTAATTATGCCATTTTTAGCTAACTAAGCATAGTAAGTCATTTTGGAGGAAAAAAATGCTAAGTGTAGGTAATTTTAGAGCTAACCTAGGTAAATAGGTCATTTTGGAGCTAAGTAAGGTTATTATGTCATTTCGAAGAAAATAAGCTAAGTATGTGTCATTTTGGAGGTAACCAAGATTATTAGGCTTGCATGATACCATACATATGTTACTACCCACTATGATGGTAGTAACATAAATTAATGTTATATGCATGACACTCGTGTAAGTTACTCCCTACCATGACTAGTATGATTGGGGGTGGTGCCCTATGTCGGGCTCGCTAGTGGGTTGGCTAGGGTGGCACGCTAATCTCCCTCGATTCATGTGCCATTGGATGTCGGTCATGGCATTAG